ACCCCCACCCCTTTCTCTCAATAAAAACTGAATGCCTTCATTCAACAAACATTTATTAAGTGCTTCTGCCTGGTGTACTAAACAATGGTCTTACCAAAATTGAGAAATACAGTGCCTTTCTTAATTGAATTAGTTCTTTCCTGAGTAAGGCAAACACATTTATAAAGAGATGCACCACAAGGTCGTAACTATTTTAACAGAGTTATAAACAAAGTGGTTTGGGGGAAACAAAAGTACCTCTCTCTTTTTTGCAAGGAAAAGATCTAGAAAGACTTCCTAAATCCATGGAAATGAGACAGAGGAAACCCCAAAGGAACTTCCTTGGCTCCTTTCCCATAAAGCCACATAACTCTACAATTACTCTCCCTATAATAAATTCCTTATCTAGACTTATCTGGGTAATTTTTTTTTCCTTTTTGTCTTTTTTACTGACCGGTAACGGGATCGCAACCCTCGGTGTTGCGCCCGCACCGCGCTCAGCCAGTGAGTGGGAACCGGTCTCCACATGGGATCCGAACCCTCGGCGGGAGCGCCGCCACACTCCCAAGTGGCGCCCCCCCCCCTGCCCCCCCCGGGCCGGCCCATGGGTAAATTTTTGATTCTCAAAATTTTTTTTAAATCCCCAAATACAAGAAGTATAATTGATTTCTTTGTTTTATAAATGTCTTAAAGTACACATTTCAAAGAAAAAAGAATAGTAGGATACAAACCAAAATGTTAGCAAAGGTTCTTTGGATGGTAAGATGAACTATTGGTTCCTCCAGATTTTCTGGAAAAAGCATGTTTATTTTATTACTGGGACTAACAAAAAATTCTAAAAGACCTACCTAAATCTAAGAGATTTAGCACCAAAAAACTTTTTCTCAAGATAGTACTTAGTATCCTGCTCACAGCGCTAGTAGTTGGGCCGGCCTGGCGGCGCACTGGATAGTGCGCTGCTTGGGAAGCGCGGCGGCGCTCCCGCCCGAGGGTTTGGATCCCACATACAGACCGGTTCCCGCTCACTGGCTGAGCGAGGCGCAGGAGCAACACCGAGGGTTGCAATCCCATTGCCGGTTCTGTCCGGTACGGGGGTGACACTGAGGGTTGCGATCCATTGCCGGACACGGAAAAAGACAAAAAAAAAAAAAAAAGATAGTACTTAGTGTTTTATCAAGGGCAAAGTAAACATGCACGGGATGGAAATTAAATTCATCCAATACTTCTGGTGTCAATCAGTCACTATATCATCTGAAGCATTAAAAATGAAACTTTTGATTCAATAATTCCACTTCCAAGAAATTACTCAAAACAAAATACAATACAAACATAGCAATACAAACAAAACTGTTCAAGGGTATATATTCATACCATTTACAATAGTAAGACACTAAAAACAACTTAACTTTCCAATAATTCACTCATTCATTTAATAAATATTTATTGAGTACCTATATGCCAGGCACAGGAGATACAATAGTGAACAAACTGTACAAAAGTCCAGACAGAAGAACCTGCCCTCATGGAGCTCACAGTCTAGTGGGGCTTTGAGGATGGGATATAAATAATAAAGTAAGTGAGTAAAATATTTGGCATGTTACCTTTTAATAGACCATAAAGAAAAATTAAGCACGAAGAGAGACAGGGACTAAAGGGTAGGAGGTGGGGGAGTACTGTACAGATGGTCAGGAAAGGTCTAAGGTGGTAGCATTTGAAGAAAGGCTTAAAGTAACTGTTGATTTATAGCTACTCCTCTATTAAATCTATCACACTCTTTTTTTTTTTTTTTTTTTTTTTCCTTTTTTTTTTTTTTTCTTTTCCGGCAACGGATCTCATCCCTCATTTTTGCGCCTGTACCAGACCAGGACCGGCAACGGGATCGCAACCCTCGGTGCTGTGCCTGCACCTCGCTCAGCCAG